GGGCTTTTCAAACTCCATTCCGTACAGTGAATATCAACCAATCCAACCACCAAAGTAGGTTCTAAAATGGGTGGTGAATTCACATACTTCAGAATGGGATCCCATTGGTTTTGACCCACAGCCACTTTTCTATTGGGAGGAGATGATGGCCTGTCGGTAATTGGGGAGGGGACCATCCCAACAGCTGCAGCCTTCCGTTGATTCGTTGAGTGGGATGAGCGGATGTCCTGCAAGGACCCATTCATTAGGGGGTTTTCGCGCAATTATGAGAACCCTTTCCTTCGATCAGAACCCTAAGAAGGTTCTACCAGCCCCCTTTGTTGGGGTGGGGGGCTTTGGTTGCCTCTTTAAACGAGTACAGGAATAACCTCACTACTCATGTCCTACAAGGTCAGATTGGCTGGAAGGGGTGATTCCGAGATTCCCATAATATGTGCCATGATTAAAAGACCCGCTTTACTTGAGGATAGTAGGAATGGTCATCAGCCATCTAGTTCGCGTTTTAGGCAATTAATGCTGATGTTTCTACTAAGGTAACCGTAGCCATGAATCAATGCAAGGAGTTCTGACCGTAGCAGATGTTTTTCTTGAAGTAGGCAAGTTTTTGGAAGTGGCGGTCCGGGCATGGTGGCCACTTCTGAGATTCGTTTCTAAGGTAGACCTAAGGAGCTGCAAGACAAGACTCCATGATCTTCCAAAGCCCTTGCCACTTCAGTGAGCACGGCCGGTGTTGAGAGCATGTAGTTTTTCGACTTTTGAATATGCTGCTCCATTCTTTGGTCTCAGCAAACTCAGAGCCTCTGCAACGCTTTCCTGTAACCACAAATGAAACTTAATGGATCTATAATTGAACATGTTGAACCAAGAGACTTTGGAGATGCAAAGGTTCGACGGGTCTATCGGCTTGTTCTGCTTTCGATGGCCCAGGGCCTTGGCGTCTCACCAGTTGCCGGCGGACCACCACATCTTCGAGGATGCGGAGCCTTGGCAAAGCGATGGCCGAATCGCAAACTGAGAAGGTGTACTCCTGGGTTCAGTGCCCTGTGTAAACCTCGGACAAAAAGCCTTGTAAATTGAACCATTGAATCACGACGCCATCCTGTAAGAAAGTGGTTTCTTTCAAACAACATGCACAGGGGGTTTATTTATGGTTCGGCGCTTCACATGTCTGAATTATGAAGGGCGAGAGGAATATTTTTGGGGCTTGTTTGCAAGGTTCCTGGCCATTTCGCGTGGATGCTGATCTAAACTCTCAAAACACGAGAGAGATGGCCCGTTTAGAGGACTTCTTCCTGTACTTGAAGGTTGCTGTAGCCTTTCTTTTTTTTCTTCTCTTCTTGTCTAACCCAGTGTGAAATCTGTGTCGAACACGTGGGGGGTGCCCAAATGGGCTCACACGCCAACTGAGCCGCTGAGGATTTGGAGCTGCTGCATAACTTGGGCATCCATACCGAGTGGGTGCAGCACAACGCTTCTCCCGGAACCCTCTACGATGAGGCGCGAAAGCGCGCAAGTCGTGTATGTCTCTCTCTCTCTCTCTCGGTATGTTGTACGTGTGTATATATATACATATATATATATGTATACATGGTACCCCCCCCCCCCTCCGTGGACCCTGGTTTTGTGAGCTTGAGCTGTGTTTTTCTAGCTTTTTATGTTTTTTGCCTTGCTATGTATGTATGCATGTCTGCATACGCATGTAATGTAAGCAAAGATATCAACATTTGCCATCTGTCGGAGTCTGCATCCATCTCAGAGGATTGGGACAACCAGGTTATTTTCTTTCTTCTGGGATTCAAGATTCAAGAATCTGAGCAAATTCTTTCGGGAATGTTGAATCTTGAATCGCAGATGTTTTTTTCTTTTTAGAAGCAATCCAGGGTTGTCCCAGTACTCTACGTGTTCAATACATACTTCTGCAACCAAGCATGAGCACCCATCTGCAGTCATATGCAATTCTCCGAGTTCCCGCAGTTTCTGGATTCAAGAGGAGAAGATTCTCGGAAAATATTTCAATCTTGAATATTCAATCCAGTGGTAAAATACTTTCGAGGTTTTAGAACAACTTGAAAGTGGTTTGGGGCTGGCCCAACTAGAAAGTTTTTCGGGGCTGGACAGGGTTGATGATTCTCAGGAAAGTTGTTGTCTGTGCAATCTTGAATTTTGACTCCGCACTTTCAAGTGTTAGAAGAACTTGAATGTTGTTTGGGTTTGGCTCGCATCTACATGTGTACTCAACAAATGCAACTTTCAAGCTGCTTAGAATAGGAACTCCTTTCCGAAATTGCTGTTGAATTGACTTGGAATTGCATTTACTTTCAACTTGCATGGAGTTGAAAAAAGGAGTACGTTATTCAAAGATTGAATTTGGTTCACATTTCTCGGACTTAGATTTGGAGACACTCACATGGTCTGAAGTGTCTGCTAATTGCAGTAACTTACGCAATGCAAGTCTAAGGTATCTATGTGGAATTTGATGGAACTTATTCTCGTAGGATTTCTGTGTTAAAGAGTATCTAAATAGGTTGTCCCTTTCAAAGATGACTTGTAATGAAAAGGCTTTTTTTTTTTTTTTTTTAAACACATGTTCTACATTGATTTGTTTGATCAGAATCGAAATGTAATTTGATAAGGACACATCTCTAGTAGTATGTCTCGTTTTAACAAGGATGTAAACAGGCTGTTTCGAAAAATAGGTTTTCGTTGGACCTATTATTCAATATGGATTTTTTTCAAGTCTCTTTTTGAATCATTTTGAATCAACTATTGTTGAACTTCCTTCTTTTTTTCAAAGTGACACATCCTAATTTCATTTCCAGTTTTAAAGATGATGTACATAGGATTTCCTTTCCAAGGACTATGTAAGAGGACTTGCTTTCCCATGATTTGTTTCCATTGCCTAATTAGAGTTAAAATTCATTTGAATAAGGAAATACGTCTATATAGTAGAATTCTTCACTTTAAAGAGGATGGAAAAAAGGATTTCCCTCTCAAACAAAGATATATTTGGAGTCTACGACATCACAAGACCCAAAGAAGCACGAAAACAAATTGCTACTGCGCTGCTGCTACTGTCCATCCAGGCACATTGAAAAGCTTCAACACCCCAAAACAGGCACATTTCATGGGGAGGTGGCATATATATATATGTATATATATATATATGTACACACATGTTTACATATATATATATATGTACACACATGTTTACATATATATATATATGTATGTATGCAACCCCTCCCCCACCTGCCGCGCCCCCGTGGACCCTGGTGCTTTTGCGCCTTTTGGGGATGATCAATCTAGAATCTAGAGACTTAAATTCTCGAACTTCTAATTTTGGGTCCCCAAAGATTGATAATTTGGAGCCAGGAGTCCTCCAACATGTCCCGATGATACCCTTTCCAAACAGGATTTTACTTCAACTAGAATTGGATTTTTGAATACTGTGTTGTTTAGTAAGGATATAGTGTTCCAAAATGTGTTTTATGTTCAACTACAACTACAAAAATAAAACAAAAACAATTCCTTTTCAAATAGGAGTTACATGAACATGTAAATATAGTTTCGGGTAAACTCCGACCAATCATTTGCAAAATAATTAGATAGGAGTTTATTCCCAAATATATTATAAGTGATAAATACAATCTAATACGAACACATTTCAATTGGCAGTTGATAATGACAATTGAATAGACACTAATTCTTACATATAACTCATATAAAATATGGTAAACATGTCAGAGACTTCTAAAAGGACATTCGAAATACGTTTTGTGTTGTTTACATTCTGGCCCTTTTGTAGAATAAGACAGGGCCCAAATCAAACTTGTCAGATGGTGTTTCAAATAGACAAGGTTCAAATTCTATACTTCCTCGTAGAAGGGATTCAAGCTAACTCAATTGTATTTAAAGTCTTGTTTAGGCAGGAAATCACAATTCATTCTATCTCAAAAGGCGGAGGTAGTAGATGAGCAGAGGTGGACCTTCAGTCTGCGGTGAGGGGGTCACTGGATCGCTAAGCACTTGAAAGGATTTTACCACTGGATGGAAGATTCAAGGTTGAAGATTACACAGAAACCTTTCCTGAGAATCGTCAATCCTGAGCGCACTTTGGCTGAACAAGCTCCACGTTTATCAACTTGTTGTTGCAAGAGTAGTACGCAAAGTACACTTTGGCAGCTTCAACGTGTCTGTATCAGCTTTGTCCTCGCGTAAACCATCCATTTGGGGAAGGGATTTCATTCCAATGTAGATTGCCATTGATGTTGAATATCCAAGTCAATGATACAAGTGCTCCATATCCTTGTATTCACGAATCCAGTCAATCTACGAGATTCCCAGTTCCACCCTCATGTTTGAGGGTCAAATCGAAAGGAACAAACATGATGAACCACACTGCATTTTGCTTTTTTCCCCAACAGCTGAAAGCTTTGGGGTCTCAGCCCAGATAGGGTTCGGGGTGGTCCGGGGCGGCCCTGAGGCAAGGTTCCATGTGGGTTCCACCAGGGTTCCACCAGGGTTCCACCAGGTTCTGCGAGGGCTGCGGGGTGGTCCGGGGTGGTTTGAGGTAAGGTTCCACGAGGGTTCCACCAGGGTCCCACCAGGGTTCCACCAGGGTTCCACCAGGTTCTGCGAGGGCTGTGGGGTGGTCGGGGGTGGTTTGAGGTAAGGTTCCACGAGGGTTCCACGAGGGTTGCCACCAGGGTTCCACCAGGTTCTGCAAGGGCTGCGGGGTGGTCCGGGTGGTTTGAGGTAAGGTTCCACGAGCGTTCCACCAGGGTTCCACCAGGTTCTGCAAGGGCTGCGGGGTGGTCCGGTCTGAGGTAAGCACGAGGGTTCCACCAACCAGGGTTCCATGAGGGTTCCACCCGGGTTCCACCAGATTTTCGCCAGGTCTGCAAGGGCTGGGGGGTGGAGCAAGGTTCTGCGAGGTATGGTTCCATGAGGGTTCCACCAGAGTTCTAGCAGGGATCCACAAGGTTCTGCAAGGGCTGCGGGGGTCCGGGTCCATGGGGCTGTGGGATGGTCCGGAGGTAAGGTTTCACAAGGTTCCACCAATTTCCGCAAGGATTCCACAAGGGTTCCACAAGGCTCCACAAGGCTCCACAAAACATTCCATGGTTTGGGTCTGGAGGGAAGCAACGTGCTACCGGAGCAGTAAATTGCGGGCTCAGAAGATCGCTTTGCCCATGGGCGGAACACTAAGCAAAACCGAAATCAGTGTATTGTGGAAAATCAGACCACGCTGCTGCGGGACTGACTGTGAAGCAGAGTAAATGCTTGGCATTACTGAGTATTACTTGGTGGGCTTTGGGTTCCAAGAGTTCCACACTGCGATGGCTATGGGGTAAGGTTCCAAAAACGCTCCACGAGGTTTCGAATTACCAGGTTCTGCAAAAGCCATGGGGCAGCCCTGAGGAGAGGTTCCCAAAGTTTCACGCTGAGTTTCCACGAGGATGGTTTGCGAGGTTCACACGGCCGGGGCCCGATTGCAGTGTGGGGGGCCCCCGTTGGTGGGATTGCACCGTTGGGCCCCGCTTGGGCCCCGATTGCACCGTGGCCCTGATCGGCCCCGATTGCGCCGTTTAACCCCGATTGGGCCCCAATTGCGCTGTCGGGCCCCGATCGGGCTTCATTGCGCCGTTGGGCCCCGATCAGGGCGAAGAGTGCTTTGCTTTGCGTTGCAAAGTTACAAGGCGGCATCCTCAGCAAATCCGGCGGTGAGGTGGGTCCCGGGGCGGATTCTGGGAGGGTGTGGTGCTGTTAAGGATATCGCCTGAGCCTATTTTGCTTTCTGACCACACATAAGAAGAGGTGGGGGCATCTATACAGGCTTGGGGTATACTGGAACAGTGTTCAGGTTTTCAGATACTAGCGCATTGGAGCACTTGGAGCCTGGAGAATTGAGGCCCAAAAGACAAATACCTACATGTGTTAAGTCATGGGATTCAAGATTCAAGACTTCTAAACATAATTTTCTCACATGATTGAATCCTGAATCTTGACTCCCGATCTCAAAACAAATGGTCTCAAGGGTCAATCTCAAGTTGTTCAAAACATATTTTCTTAGATTGTTGAATGTGTGTGTGTGTGTGTAAATGCTTGTGAGTGTGTGGGTGTAGGTGTGTGCTTTTGTGTATGTGTGTCGGTTCGTGCATATATATATATATATGTGTCAGTTTGTCAGTTTGCACGTGTACCGGGACTGGTCCCAGGGACCGGTCCCGGGACCGGTCCTGGGACCAGTCCTGAAACCAATCCCAGGACAGGACCGGTCCAGGACCGGTCCCAGAACCCAGGACGTCCCAGGATTGAGTCGTGGTGCGACCGGACTGGTGTCGATCCCACCTTAAACCACTCCAGACAGCTCTTTCCTCCGGTCAAACCGCTCCAGACACCTGCCTGGGCACTTTCAGGACTTGTGTCCGTTTGTTTGTTGTTTGATTGGTTGGTTGTTTGTTTGTTTGCCCGCCTGCCTGCCTCACTGCTGTTTTTTTGCTTGCGTTTGCTTGCTTTTGCTGGCTTTTGCTTTGCTTTTTTGCTGGCTTTTGCTTGCATTTGCTTGCTTTTGCTCGCGTTTGCTTGCTTTTGCTTGCTTTTGCTTGCTTTTGCTGGCTTTTGCTGGCATTTGCTCGCGTTTGCTCGCTTTTGCTTGCTTTTGCTTACTTTTGCTTGCTTTTGTTTGCTTTTCTGGCTTTTGCTTGCTTTTGCTTGCTTTTGCTGGCTTTTGCTTGCATTTGCTTGCTTTTGCTTGCTTTTGCTTGCTTTTGCTTGTTTTTGCTTGCTTTTGCTTGCTTTTGCTTGTATTCCTTGCTTGCTTGCCTGTTGGCCTGTTGGCTTGTTGGCTTGCTGTATTGTCGTTGCCTGTGAGATGAACTAGTACACAACGAGAGAAAACGAGTCTGTGTGTCACATTGGATTTGGGCCTTTGTTCGTTCTCTCCGGATCTCATTTCGCTTTTAGTTGGCACACCGAGTCCCCAAGAAGCTTGAGCGAGCCAATCCCTGCCAGAAACTAAGGACACATGCCGTACTCCAACTCATTTTTATAAAGAGCCGCACCCTCGCAAGCAGCGGATTTACTCTCCAACATGGCAGCAGGCTTTCGGAAGACGATTTTCCCGAACGTTGCTGTGAAGCTGTGTTGATGGGTAAGGGTTGGGGGTGGGGCAAACAGCCAGGACTATAGGGCCCTTTTGGGAACCCCTCACAGAACCCATCTACCCTTCAAAGCAGGTTCTAAGATCCTTTCGTGGGTGTGGGGGCGACCTTGGTTTCCCAGTTTGGTGAAAGGTACAATTCCTCTTTTTGGTGAAGTCCCTTTGCTCACTCCCCAGGTTCATGGACTTCAAACTTGTTGGAAAGACAATTTTTGGTGGTATATAAGAAGTCTGGTTAATATTTTTGGGCCAATCCACTCGATCGGAAGTGAGTTTGTCCATTGGTGCCAACTACGTCATGGATCACCTCGCCGGCCGTCCCAGGCGCTGCGCTATGAGAAGGGCTCTGCGATCTTGTCCACCGGGGCGTTGGCGGCATTTTCAGGCAACCGAGCGGCCTTTGTCCCTGTCGTCTCCTTTGTCCGACATCCTTTTTTGCATGCAAAGATGTAGTATCCGCGCATCTACATGATCTGCATCCATATCGCCCAATTCTCACTCCACCCACGCTCTTGGAACAAAACAGGTGCGAAGACGGGCCGCTCGCCGGTGGACAAGCGCGTGGTCTACGAGCCTTTTGGCTGGGCTTGGCATGTGCGTGGAGTGAGAGAGGCGACCCGGGTTTGGGGTGCCATGCTTGGCGTCGTGTGGCTGAATCCCTTCTGGACTAGGAGCAAGCAAGGCAGCTGCAGCTTGAAGCATTTAGACGGTTTGGCACGGGCTGGAGTCCTTGTTAGTTGTCATTTGCCATCTCTTTGTACCCAGAGAGGAGCTCTCAGTGCAAAAACATTGGACTTGTTTTGTACGGCTTGATGCCTAGAAGAAGCTGCTTTCACAATTGGACTTGGGGATCGGCAAGGGTCCATTTTGCAACCCTGCTACTTGTAGGGTGTGTTTGTTTGAGGCGAATTTTTTCCCCTCTGATCTCAAGACATACCCAAATGCGGCAACATTCTAACATGGGTCTTTGGTCGGCTTTCAAGAAAATGTCTCCTGTCAATTGGGGATTAAGGACCATTCTCACATATCTTTATAGACACGGCCGCATGTATGGTCAAGACCGGGCGCTGTGCGACATCAAGTACCCTCTCCCCGTTGCCGTGGAGCCTGACATTTCGTGGAGGTTTAGACGATTTTCCACATGTTTTCACGGGGCCATTTCTCTGGGTTGCCCAACGGCGGGTAAGGGATCTTCATGAAAGCAGCCGGGTGACACACACACACACACAGACTCAGGTCCACTACCTCGGACGATGTTTGGTGGGGTGCGGGACCCTGGCCGGTCACCGGGTGGAAAACAAACAGAGGCCCGAAACAAAGTTGGATACATTTGGGCGCGTTTGGGCGTGTCCTTTCTTGAGGGTACTTTTTGTTTAGTTCCTGAGGGAAACGAAAGGAAAACCGAATCCATTTGGGATTCCCTTAGAGAAAGAGAGAGAGAGAGAGGGAGAGGGACCCATTGGGCCAGTGAGAATATCCCCTTGAACCCAGCTTCAGCGGATGTCCAAAGGATGTACCCTAGGAACCCTAGGCCGAAGTATCCACCCTCGGAACCTACCTGGGAACCCTCCAGAAACCGCAAAGTCGGACAGGGAGGTTCAGGAAGTCCAAGACGTCATGAAATGGGTATCATAGAACAGGGTTTGCCACAACATTTTGACATGTTGACAAGCATTGCTGGTAGTGCTTTTTGAAGACTAGAAGGCCCGGCCCTCAAGTTCCTCGTCAAACACCGTGCGCCAAAAGTGGCCTTCATCTTCTCATGTCAGGAAGGTTCATCAACTTGTTCTCTCGTTTATGAAATATAGGAAATGCCTAGATGGTTCAACTAATGGTCCCTACTAGAGACCACTTTCACCAAACAGCCTCAACAGCTTGAGGTGAAATTGGTCCAAGCCTCTTCCTGAGCGGTCAAGAGGCTTGCGCTTTTCGCGCGTACCTTTTGCAAACCTCGGGGACAAATGGGTCCAGGGTAGTCTTGAAATGGATTGATCCAGATTGTTTTCCTTATAAAGCCAAATGGTGAACCTAACGTCGAAGGTGAGGAACTGTGTCTTTGGAGGGGCGGTGTTTCTCGCTCAAGAGCCTTTTTCCAGGTGCTGTGAACATCCCACTCTCGGAGAATACCTTCAAGCGCCTTGCCATGACAGGAGCAATCCGCAAGCATGCGTAGATGTTTGTATCTACATACATACATAATACATGTTCCATCCCATTGCATTACATTACATTGCATTACATTCATTACGTTTTTGTTGCATACTTACAGAACCATACCATTAGCTTTCCTTTTCCCATTCCCACTACCATTTCCGTCACCATCACCATTACCATTCCCACCGCCATTATCAGTATCATTACCAATAGCATCACCGTTAACTACATTACATTACACCACATCGCATTGCACTGCACTCATTAGATTGCCTTGCTTATCATATTGCTGTACATTGCATACATGCATCTATTTACACCTACCTACATTTCTTCATATCATTTGCGTAGACATCCTCCCTCTGGCAGATTGCAACAGGGCCACATTGCAATGGACACATATTCCCACCGCGAGCCGTGCGGAAGCCTTCCGGGGCTCGAACACACAGCCTGGCAACGCACCTTCACCGTTGGTACCAGCCCACTATTACAGAAGGGGGTATGTACCATCGTGCGACTCACATCAGTTTTGATCGCTGAGGATCAACCGAGAGCGTGCCATCGACTACCTTAACACTCGGGACCACCGGAACCGAGGGGAGCGTGTCGCGTGGATCGGGGAACGAGGTTCTTGCCTCGTGACCACAGTACCTCAAGGTGATTGGTTGATTCGCCCGCCGGATTCCAACCCTGGTGAGTGGCAAGCAGATAATGTCTTGCTTGAACCTATAGAACACAATGCTCCCGGGTGCTGATGGACTTGTGTCCGATTTCAGTGCAGCAGGCAGTTCATACCAGAGACAAATCAGAAGCCACCTTGCTTGGCCACATGCAGCTTGATTTCTAGAAAGGGTTACCTATTGGCATTGGTTGCCAATATCCTGCATGTTTTAAGCCGGTGTTGCTTGAACACCTTATTCAACATCTGCTGGGTTCTCAAATCAGGGCTCAAGGCGCCAGTTTTCCTTGCTTTCTTCCAATCTGATATATTCTTATCAAGTCTGTCCAAAAGGAACACCCTGAACAGACCGACCCCATGAAAGTGTAGGCGTCCTCTTTAGAGGTCTGCCCAACTTGTCCCATAGCGGCGAAAGAACAGCCCACAAGTTGTGTTGGTCTTGAAGTACCTAAGGGCTCAATCACATGCCATAGGAGAGATGGCCCCGATAATACAAGTATCTTACTGTCTCAAACAACCACATGGAAACCACTAGGGAACACAATTACATGCCGCGTCTGCCCAAATGCCCGATGTTGATATCTAAGGGTTGATTCTTTGTTCATGTCAGTGTCTTCAGCCATCGTTCAGACCAGAAACCAAAAAACAACTCCAAGGGTGCTGGCCCATTATCTACTTCAAAGGATCCCTGCAGAGAACGAGAAGGGCACTGCCAACATATAGTAGGGGCACCCCTCAAAGGCGAAAATGCAAGCGATTTCTTTTGTTTTCCCATGCAGCCGCATGGTTCATTGGATGAAGGAGCGGCTCTACGTCTTCGACGGCTTTGCCGGGTGGGACCCCGAGCACCGCTACAAGGCTTGCGACCGTCCCGAAATGGACGTAGGGGGATGAAGGTTAGGGGATCAGCAGAGATGTGGATATTTACTTTCCGGACTCTTTGCAGTAGGACCTCTGAATACCAGAGGTTCATTGGACCTTTTGGCAGTCCCTTAAAAGGTACAGTAAAGGCCGCCGAGTCCGCATGAGGTTTAGGCTGACACCATCCCCAATCTGTAGGGGGTTCTAACGGGCCTCATTTGACACATTTTGTTGAATGCACAGGTGAGATCAGCTAGATTCGATTTCTACAAGGGTTCCTGTATTGATGAAGTCCCGCTCTCTCGATGCACCCCGTTTTGTTGCGTCAACCCTGACTTATGTTTTGATTAATTTTCCCTTTGTTTTGTGAGCACCCTGACTTGCCTCTTCCCCCAACAGCTGAAAGCTTTTGGTCGCTGCCCAGATAAGCCCTGGCGCGGCTCTGGGCTAGGTTCCAGAAGGGCTCCTGGGGCTGCTGTTGATACTACCCGAGCACTCAAAACCCGGATGGATGAAGTAAGGAAGAGGCCAAGCCAGAATTCGGCGTGGCCGCCCTTTCGATTTGCCTCGGTTTTGGGTCCCTGTAAACGGGTCTTGATCTCCGGCCTTGCCTCATCATCGCGTCGGAACCTGCGCGCAGATCCGCGTGATCACCAGCCGCGCCTACCACGCGCTCTTCATGCACAACATGCTGATCAGGCCCACGGAGGAGGAGACCACATCGCCTGTGACACATGGGTGCAAATGGGCTGTCGCGTTTTGAGGGGTTCTCATTTGACTGTGTCCCGGTGTTTTCCCTCACGATTTAGGTACATTCCCAGGGTATCACTTTGACGGCCTGAGCGAAGCAGACAGATGGTGCAAACACACTATCACAGGCAGACATAGAGAGAGAGAGAGAGAGGCACAAAGTCTTGCTGATGGAATGAACAATCTGTTAGACACAAGCAACAAGCACGGTCTACTTGGACCCTACCAACCCACCCAAACTTTCAGAGCAGCTGGGGGTCGAAGCTTTGGAGGAGCTGGCAAACTTCGGGCAGCCGGCAGCTCGGCAAGGAGGCTTTGTCAACGAGGCCACTTGCATCACTTTTTAAGCCTTGTTCCCTGTCTCCTGAATCTTGCCTAAATCGGATTCCCAGCAACCAATTGACCCTGGGGATGTCAAAAAGGGATGTGGACAATCTAGTAGAGATTGTGCAAACCTGCTGATATTAGCCACAATGAAAGCCTGGGTAGTTGAAGTTTAGTGGAAAGTCCCTGCAGCCAGAAATCGGGGCGGCGTTGCGCTCTCTATATTTCGACCAATTGGGTATCTAGTTGCCCTATGAGAACAGAGCCTCTGCTAGTCACACACGCACAACCTGGGTATGCCTTTGGCTTATCCCTTGCCCCTCAAGACACGCGCATTTTCCTTGCCATTTGTAATCTGGTGAAGCGACATGGTCAGAGCCTTTGGGACCTCAAGCGGCTTGCCCTTTCGATGAGAAAGAAAGTGGCAGCTGTGCTGTTTCCAGAAGGACGGTCTTCCCGCACGAAACACCCTGGTATATACTTGGAGGATCCAGGCCCATGTGATGAATCAAGGGGTACGGTTCTCTCCTTTCCAGGACCAAGGGCTCTGATTGGGGTGTCACTTATCAGATGTGGACAAGACGCAAATTACGCTGGGTGGCAAGACCACTTGCAACTTGGTAGGGTTGATAGGCCAAGCATCCACAAACCTTTATTCGATGTTTGTATTTTGAGGGCCTTGCTGATATGTACTCAAGTTAGCAAACCATCCATGTAGAAAGTCGCGCACATCCTCATTATGTTGGGTATTTGTGTATTTGGTATAATAATACATATATATATATATATATATAATATGTATTTCTATGTTTGTATCGTTGGCTGGCAGGATCCTCTTGCCTCCAGTTTTGGGGTCGGTGCATTGCTTTGACAAGCACCCAACTCGAGTTTGGTTTCCCGGCTCCCGTTGAAGTTCAGCGAGGGTTTGATGGCCACTGTCCAATTTCTCCGATCAGAGCCGATGGCACTAATCGGCTCAAACCATCAGACACCAAATTCCCAAGCGGAAAGCTTGCCGCTCTCGTTTTTTTGTGTGTTAGCTTTCTCCTGCGCAGTGTTTGTTTTTTCTTCTTCTGAGAGACGCTCAGTTAGTTCCTGCACCTGCACTATGGCTGCTCTTGTCAAACTTCCGAATGACCATGGGAATATTGGGAACCGCAAACAAATAAGCCCATACCAACAGGGGGTGTCATCCACACAAATGATCTGGATTCCCACTAAAAGGGGAGACCCCCCCAGTCAAAATCAACCGGAATTTGTTTGTTGATATTTTTTAAACTTTTGAGCTTGCCTCTTGGTTGGATCAGAGGTTAAGTTTTGGATAGATCCTTGATAGGTGACTCCGTTTGTCCCATTTGAACAGTTTCCCGGAGTTTCCTTTGACAGAATTTCGGCCGGTGACTCTGTTGTTGGTGCTCCAAATAAACAAATATGGGTCTGGGTCAATAGGGTAACCCCAATCTGAACCCTGGTACATGGCAACAAGGACTAAAACCCGCAGTCCCTGGTAGCAAAACTTTAACCCATACTCATATGTGTATTCTACCAATTTGTGTATTCCACCAAGCCAGTTGAAGCGAGGTCTTTGGAAGGTTTGGGGCAGTTTTTCAGGGTCTGTAGGTGGTTCACTTGCGATACTTCTGCACAAAGCAGACCTATCCTGTACTTTGCCCAGCTGGGAGTTTCTCATTTTCTTTTCTCGGGTTGGTATTTAAAGGGTTAGGAGGGTCCCAAGCAGCCGTTTTTATGGGACCAAACTCTGTTTTGAGAAGCACCCATATGGGCGTTTCTTTTCTTGAAACCCTTTTTGGGTTGGTTTAAGACACCAAAAACAAACCACTACACTTTTGGGGCTTCCCAAACCAACCAAAAAGAGGGTCCCCGTAAAAAGGGGCGACCCCTTCTCCTTACAGGGGGTCTCCCTTAACAGGGGCACACACCTCCATCCCCCCCTCCCCCCCGCTGGTTTTTGCGGTCTGAGGACTACACCATCTACAACGCCGGGGCCTTCCCGGCGAACCGGGCCACCGAGGGCATGACCTCGGGCACCTCGGTGTCCCTGAACTTCAAGACCGGCACCTCGGACCCCAAGATTTCACAAGAACCAAAAGAGAACAAAAGGAGACAAAAGCAAAAAAGCAAGCACAAAAAGGAACAAAAGCAAAGAAGAAAACCACAACTCTTATCAAAAGAAGTGCCCTTTTCCTGGTTCTCAGCCATCCGGTTCCTGGGTTTCCGAGGTTTTTTCTTAGTTCGCCATCTGGTCCTTTTTTGTTTTTTTGAAACCCGCTTTTTGGTTGATCTAGTGGCTCGCTCTCCATTTAACCAAAGCTGTTCGCAGGGGATCCGAGCCCAGTTTTGGCTTAGAGGCTGAGGGGAAAACCTTTTCTTCCCACCCTCGTTCCGACCAAGTGGACATTGAGAGAAAGCCTTTGAAGGACCTGATCCTTGTTCTCAAAAGCCCTCTTTCCAACGTGGAAGTGTTTGGGCTCACAAATCTGGGTCTGTCATTTTGTTGGACACCCGTTTTTGGGGAGTTTTGAAGGGAAACCAAAAGGAAAACCACGATTTGGCGGGAACCCCCCCCAATAAAGAGACATCCATCTTAAGTTATCGGCCCCAGCCTCTTTCCAGCAATCATGGAAGTGGACAGCGGGCTTCCCCAAAAGGAAGGTAGTCTTCCAAATCCCGGGCAAGTGAAAGGGACCCCCCCTGTTTCTGACTTTGACAACCCCCACAAAGCCTCAAAATCATTGGAATCCAAAACACGGCTCTGCGACAAACACAAACGGGACGGCTACAGGAAACTTGGCGTAGATCCTTGGCCTCCTGACTGGTTTGGGAAGTCGTGCGTAATCAAGCAAGTTCGGGGAGACCGGCCAAGTTTCGGGAAAACCGTCTTCAGAAGACGCGTGTGTTCCCAGTCACCAGCAAGCAGTTTGGGCAGGGAGCCACTCTCAGCCAACCGCCCCCGTGGTTTGGGGGTAGGGCCCCCGGGGCGAGCGTGGGGGGGGGGGGGGGGGTTGGTAGGCATCCCTGAATGACCAGGACCCTCAGAAACAATGGTGGGTTTCCTTGGGAGTACATCGTCCCTGTGAGGGAGTACAGGATTTTGACGCATGGCCACATAACTCAATGATGGTTGTAGAAACTTGCTGGTTTGAGGAGTTCTCGGTTGGCGGTGCCAGCGGCCTGGGAGTACACCAGGGTTGGTCTTGCCCTGTCCAGTTCCACATGAAGACATGCGACCGAGAACTTCAGCAAGCCAGCCTTTTTTCACTGGGTTCAGCTCCCGTCTCGGTTTGGGAGGTTTCCAATGGAGCGAGGTTTGTAAAATCATCGGAATCTGGGTGCCCTCAAATAAAGACACACCCAGAACGCCATGCCTTCTGGGCGGCAGTGCAAAGATGCAGACTGCTGAATTTTCGCCGAACAGCTCACAAGCCTTTAGGGAACCGTCCAGGGAGGTCTTAACAGGGACCTCTCCTATAAGCGACCTTCACAAGCGAACACGGAGCCAGGAGTTGCCCGGGACCGTTTCCTCTCGGCGCTTGTCTCTGGGTTAGGTGAGGTCGTGATCCTGGGCACGCAATATGCCGGCGAGATGAAGAAGGGCGTCTTTACAATCATGAACTACCTCCTGCCGAAACGTGCCTGGACTGTTTTTTTGTTTTGGGGGGGGAGGTTTCAGCGCTTCTTTTCGGTTAGCAGTTCTCCCCAGTAGGAGGACCCGAACTGGGGTCTAGCAAACGGGTTCTGATCGCTTGCGCATGACCTTCGGACTTGTGTCGCATCTCAAAGCATTTGCCAAAATTCCAACGAATTGGTCACTCAATCTTATGAACAGATGTTTACGCACTTTGATCTGCAACTTTGGCTAGTTCGCCCTTGGACCCGCGAGACAAGGGGAGCTGAGAGCGCCTCAGAAAGCACATCTGAAAGTTGGGGCGATTCTTGGTTGGGTTTGAGGGAATGAGGAACATCAACAAAACCTTGTACTGCACTTGGGATCCGTGATCCATTTGCATGCAATCTGTTCTTACAACTGTCCATTGCCAGAGTTTTGGCCCTTCTATTTTGACAGCTGCGGTTTGCCACAGGGTTTGCGATGGAACATCCTGGCCACCCTAGAAATGTAGTCGGAAAGGCGGCCCAAGCCCTGTGGCTCTATTGGGTGAAGGATGGGGTTCTGGAGATGGACCGGAAGGCTGTACCTCGGAACCCCAAGAAAGCCAAGTTTTGGGGAAGGTCAACACAAGTGATTCTCACACTTTCCCCTGCTGCGGAATCAGTAAATCCCAACTGAGACCAGGGGGAAGGCTCTGTTCGACTGTACAGTCAACGCTTGGGGGATCTGAGCGGGTGGTATCCCTAGGTTGCTAACCACTTGTTATTCGTGATCTTCGTGCCAGATGATTCGGACATCCTTGCTAGCTAGTGCCCTCTCATTTGACTGGTCTCCAAATGGCTGTGGCTCAAACAAGTGTACCAAAATGGCACCTGGCTAAATGGAACCAAAGAGCAGCAATTCGAGGCGGGATCCTCAGTATGCACGCCAGCGCCAACGAGGGCAAGTGCCTTGGCCGCGAGAAAGTCTTGCAACTGAGAGGCCTTGGCTGATTTGAGAGGACATGGGGGGACGAACGAAGTGTCCGCAGAAACCAGGCAACTCACGAAATTTTCCACGTCGGCCGAAATCCCCATTGCCGTTTCCCGCCCCACAGCTGGAAGCTGAGCTCCAGACGTTTTCGGGTTCTAATCAATTTTTTGGTGGGGTCGAGTATCATTTTGGAACCACCCGTGCATAATTTTGTTTTGGCCATTGATCACTCGAGCCTTCGGGAGATACACTCAAAACACGTCGCGCCGTTTTTCTCCCGGAAAAGCGACAGCGATCCCCAGGTTCCCCAAAGAAGGGTGTCACGAGTATTCCGAGGTTCCGGGACTTTTGGCGCTTTTGCTTCCTGGACAATGCGAATCGCTATAGGGACCCTTTGGATGTCAGAACTTGGTGGGGACTCATGTCCACCAGTTCTCACGTTCCCCAAAACAACTTCTGGCCCTTCAGGGCCAAGTCCTCTGTACCAGGGCGCCCAGGGCCAAATGAACGAACCCCGGATCTGAGGGATGGGGACGTGACGATCTTCTTCGGCCTCAGCGGCACGGGCAAGACCACTTTGCGCCCCAACATAATGATTTTGCTATCGGGGAGTTCGATCGCGCCATCGCCGTTGGTTTGTGAAACCATGGGGGTGAACGCAAAAAGCAAGGGGTGGTAGAGCTTGTTTTTGAGGAGGCTCCCTGTTCCATTCCTGCAAGACGTTGTCCAAACCATGTGAGCAAAGTCTTTTGGTTTGCAACCTGGCCTAATGATGAAGGCTCCTTGCTTAGTGATTCCATATTTTTTTAGTTGGTGAGTTATGACATACTTCACCTAGATGAATGTGTCAGGTTGTCGAGTTTTTGCGTAAGTATGTCGAATGTGAGAAGGACCTTCCAAATTGATCACAAGCCTCACTCCCCGAGATCCTGAACAATTCTATCGGTAAACAAAGGGTTTGGACTTTTTT